TCTGTGCCGGCTTGTTGGGAAGCAGCGGGCTTCCGAATCCCCAATTGGAGTGAGGCCCCTGCCCTGGCTGGCCCTTCCCAGTGACGTTAGTATTCCCTCAGATGATTGGAATAAGAAGTGACAGTGAAGCTTTTCTCAGCAATTTTCTAAAATTTGGTTTAAAAACCTGGGTCTCAAAAAAATAATTTTACTGTTGTTTTTTTAAACAAAAGTAATTTATGTTCAGTGGTAGAAATAGTCATGAATGTGAGTAAGTTAAAAAGAAGATTGTCATAACATGTTATAATATTTTAATCAATTTGAGTATATGTACATACACCAACCCAATTTGCATGTTGAAGCCCTAACCCACAGTGAATTTGGAGATAGGGCCTTTGCAGAAGTAATGAGGCTAAATGAGATCATGAGAGTGGGACCCTGATCTGAAAAGATTAGCATCTTGATAAGAAGAGGCACCAGAGAGCTCAGTTTCTCTCTCTACAAAAACAAAGAGGATGGGCCATATGAGGATTCGGGGAGAGAAGGCTGCTGTCTGCAAGCTAGGAAGAGAGCCCTCACCAGGCAGCCAATGTGCTGGCACCTCGATCTTGGACTTCCCAGCCTCCAGAACTGTGAGAAATAAGTTTTTGTTGCTTAAACCCTTCATTATTTTGATATAACAGCCAGGCTGACAAAGACAGACCATATGTGTAAACTTCTTAAGTATTGCACAGAAAGATGCACTAATGAGAAGTGTGCTTTTTCTGCAAACCAATGTTTATGTCCCGTTATATTCCAGCATCTCACTTTTCATTAATCTATTTTCTCTACTTGTACTTAGCTCTTGAGTTGTTTCTTTCTTTAACATCAGTAACTCCGTCAGGTCTGACAAATGCAACAGTCATGAGTATGGAAAGTGCTTATAAAAACGAGGCCTGCAATTAGGATATGGATGGTAATATTAAAAAATAGTAAGACTATGTCAAAGGTACACAAATTCTATGGGCCACCCTGACCATGACAGGAAATGTACCATGCAACACGTGAGATATGCTGTGGCAATTAGCAAGACAGGAAGAAACATAACTATAATGATATAGAGAACTCTAAGGGGGTGACATCGGTACTAGTGGGCGCTGAATATTACAGTACAGCATTTCCTCAGAGCTGAGATTTTCCCTTGCTGACATATCTGAAGCTGGGATGTTACCGTTGATCGTTGCTGTCAGCCAGATGGCAGGCACACCATGGATGTGAACGTCATCTCCTGGGCATGTGCAGACTTCAAAAGAGGAGCACCAAACTTGCGGGGATGGGGGCCCAGCAGCTTAGAAGAAAGCCCTGCAGACAAAAGCGCAGCACTCTTTCAACCTTTTTGGATCCAACTAGTTGTGCTCAGGCAGGGCCTGGGAGGAGTGGATTGGACTTGTTCAGCCCCGTTCCCGAAGCCAAGTCAGAAGCAGGCTGGCTCTGGAGAATTGCAAAGCCGACTTAAGAACTTCTCGCCCCTGGCTTTGAGGAGTGTTGTTCTTTTGTGGATTATTTAAGAAATGCTGCCTCACCTCGCCTCGCCAGTGCTCCCACGAACACAGGCCGCTGTTGTGTGGAAAAGCGTGAACGTGAATGATTCAGAATTGACAGCTGATGAGAGCTGTTGGATTCTGAATGGGAAAAGGTTTAGAAGACCTCAGCCAGCACACTTCGCTTGCATGTTCCTTTTCAAAAATACAGGATAGTGGTAGCTAATAAAGGTTTCTCTAAGTCTAAAGGAGCTCTTTCAAAGCAAATAAGATAAAAATTTGAAGTAGTAAGAAAGCATTGCACATAGTTTAATTGGCAGCTTTTTCCCCATAATAAATCAGGGTGCGGCTAATAAAGAGCGTCCAGCGTTGATGAACTACAGTGGCCTGTGTTACCATGGGAGGAGCAGGCAGTTTGTTGAGACCCTGAAAGACTCTGCATGTGAAGGAGTTAGAGATGTCACAGTGTTTAATTTAAGGCCCCCTTGAGCCTGCTCATCCTCAGGGAGAGGTGAGGCGCCCCCTGCAGATAGCAGGGCTGCTAAGGCGTCCCAGCTACCCTCAGACACCTGCCTTGTCAGGGCGAGAGGTGCCTGGAGAGAGCAGCAGAGGGCCCCCCGTTCCCCAGTTAGGAGGCAAAGCGCCTGAACTCTGCACATTTACTCCTCTTAGTCACGGACTGGTGAAGAAATGAACATGGGAATGACCTTTTTATCTAATGTGTTTGTTATAATTTATGCGTGTCATGTGTCTATATTTACACACACACGTGCTCACTTGTGTACAGCCATCCCACGGTGTCTGTGAGGGATTGGCTTCAGGACCACCACAGATGCCCAGGCACCTCATATAGAACGGCGTTGGACAATGTGTGTAGTCTGTGGCTCCGGAGGGCCGACTGTATACACACGCATCTTACATAATGATCTGAGTGTATATGGCACAGTTCACATAAGCCCTCACACTCAGATACACATGTTATTTGATAACCTGCTCTTTACAGATACATCACCCTTTCTGTGTCATTACGTATTCTCTGTGGCATCATTGTAAATGACAGCATAGAATTCTTTTGTATGGATCTGTGCTAGGTTGTTTCATCACTTGTATCATTAAATGATTTCTTCTAGTTACTTGTTATAAAATAATGTTGGGAACACCTCTGTGGCCAAGCTGTGGGCAGGGCCATACTGTTGTTAAGCTGGATCCTCATGGTACTTCTTTGTGATTCAGACGCCGTGTGGTCTGAGAACACCAAGATCACGGTCCTTTGGTTGCCCCCTTATTGTTTTCCGTAAATGTGTGTATGGGCAGGTTAAAGGGCCAACATAAGGGGCTAGGATGGGGGAATGGGCATGATACTAAGCTTGGGCTCTAGAACCACCCAGTCCTGGCTAATGACCTTGGGCTCCTTGTCTTAACCCCTCTGCACCTTGGTTTCCTTGTTTGTAAATTGAGTCTATGGGACACGTTTTTAGGATTGTTGGGGTAGTAATACAAGGCATGTCAAGTGTCTGGGACATAGTAACTCCTAAATCAGTGCTAGTCCAGCTTGATATTCAGGGGGTGCAGGAAAACTCCATGCTGATTCAGTCCCAACATGCTGAGAGGTGATCAAGGATATATAATACTACTCTTTATTGACTTTTTATGCCCCTGTTCCCTAATTTTTGTGGGTGGACCAAAATAGAGGACAAAGTAGTGTCTACCCTGTAAACACTGCTGGCTTCATAGGCGTTGGCCTGCAGCTGCACAGGGCCCTGGGCTTAGCTTAACGCTCTGCTCTCATTGTCTTGAAATTCTTGATTTTGCAGAGACTCCATGTCTTCATTTGGCACTGGGCCCCACAAATTATGTAGCCAGTAAGATTGTTGGGAGGGTAAAATGAGAACTCACAAAGCAGTTAGCATAGGACTCAGGATGTAATAGGACTCAATAGTTATTAAATGGATATAATTATTTTCTTTTACGAACAAAGACAGTCATGATAAGTGCATTATAGACATAATTTCATTATTAAAATAGTGAGATAAATATATAATTAATCTCATTGTACAGATTTAAAAAAATGAGGCCTGCGAAGTTAACCCCCTAAAATCACACAGCTTGTAAATTATACATGCAGAGCTTAGATTCAAACCCAAGTCCATCTCACCCAAAGCCCACGCCATTGACCTGCCCTATTAAATATTAGGTCCCGTCCTCCCTTCCCAGGGAACCCCTCTGTGAAACCCAGTGTTTAAGTCTCCTTGATCCCTGTGAGCTGCCAAGCCAAAGCCTCAGAGCCCCTCAAAGAGGATCCAGAATTCCCATCAGACCTGGAACCTGTTGGGGCCGCAGCAAACAGTGAGGACAGTTCTTCTCATCCTCTGGTCGGCCCTGTGTGTCCTGTCCCCACGCCCGCTCAGAGTCACTGGCTCCGAGTCACCTGGCCCAGTCTGCCCACCCTGGTGACAGTTCAGCTTGCCTCCTTTTGTTCCGGATACACTTAGCCTCTGGTGACTAACGCCCAGCAAATATTCCCGAAACCACTGTGAGAATCCGCGGGAGATCTGCCGGTGTCAGGTCCTGGGAAAGATGTGGGAGGTGCCTATTTCCAGTGGACCAAGGACATGGCCATCTGTCCTGCGGCAGGGGTCCCTTGTTTTCCTGCAGTGCCAGGGCGTGATTTGCTCTGCCCACTCTTTTCCCTGCCAAAAAGAGAGAGAAAATTCATGTCACCCGGATGCTACTAGCGGGCGTGTGCCTTCGAATGGGGAAGCTCAGGTTGGCCAGGGTATGTGGCCTCTGAGCAGGGGAGTTCACACTTGAACGGTTGGTTCATCTTTTAGATAAGCTGGATCTCAGTTTTGAACATGACAATGAGACTGTTGTTTCAAAGCCATTCCCTAAGTGGCTGTTTGCTCAATACTTTTGTAGTGTGAACAGGGATTTGGGGGAGGGGAAGAAGCCATCTGCTCTGGGGTAGTCTTCCAATTACGCGATCAGATTACTGCAGAGCAAAATGAAAGTCCTGTCTGGTGTGTCCAGCCCCAGCAGCTCTCTCAGGCCATTGTGTTGACGTGGAGACTCACAGGTCTCAAAGGCCAGGCCATGGGAACTGGGAGTGTGAGCAAGAGGACAGCAGAGAAGGGGCAGAGGGAGCGAGGGGGAGCTGTCTTGCCTCACGGGCATGCGGGCAGGAGAGTGAAACCACCTTGCATTTGAATTTAAAAGCTAACCTTGGGAGAAACTTGGTCTCTCTCCCTGACGACTTTGGCAATACATATCTTTGATTACAATTAATTTTTCATATCAGATAAAAAGGTTACAGTCCTTTATAAGTGAAGTGGGTGATTTTTATTTGCATTGAGATCTTAAATCTATTTATTTTCCTTAAAATGTGAGGATGATTTCTTTTTGTTTTTGAAATATGTCCTGTCTCGGTTTGCAAAAAACATCCTTGAGTTTTCTTTTTCTTCTAAATCTGTGTGTGGGTTTTTTGTTCCTTTGTGCTATTAGGCATTCATGCAGCCTCACTTGCTGGGAAATGAATTCACACATTTGGAGTTTCCAAGGAGAGTGCAGAGAAAGGAACTTGGAAAGAAGATGCTCTACAGGGACTTTAATATGACAGGCTGGTAAGAACACGCCTCCCTCCGCCTCACTGCCACGGTGTGTGTGAAGGAAGTGTCGCTGCCATAACGAGTCACTTACGCAGTTTGGATGGGGGGGTGCACCAGCGCCCCGGGGTGTGGTCCAGGGAAAGGGTGACATTGCCTCTGCTGTATGCACCTGGGTGCAGTTTTCACATCATGGACTGGTTTGCCTACCTGCTTCTCTGAAGTTCTCCTTGGGGACACTAGACCCCACAAAGCTGAAATAATTCCTCACTTTACACAGAGCAAGCATTTGGGGTTTTAAAACACATTAAATTTGTTCTTTTAGGTCAGGGGTTTAAAGGAATGGACTAGAGGTTTATTGGGCCAGACTGACTTGGATTGAACCCTAACTCTTGACTTTTCTAAATAGTCAAAGTTGCATAAACTACTTCATCCCTATGAGCCAAATTTTCCATGGATATAGTGAAAAATGGATAATCTTTGAAGGGTGGTTGTAAGGACTAGAAGTAATGAGCTACCCTCATTATTTTATCACATTCAAATTGAAATAAGAAATCTTGGCAGGGGGCGTCTCACTCCCAAAACACACTTGTGTAAGCACAAGACCATTTCTGTTGTGCATCATTAGCTGACGGTGACTGGGAACTTCATCTATTTCTCCCATCTGAAAAATAAATACCATGATAAAGTTCTTATATGTACTAAGGGTGGTACAAGGATTAAATGAGAGAGCAGTGCTGGGCACTCAGACGTGTGGATGAAAATTTGCCCGTGGGCCCTGTGGTCCTGACTGCTGAGCCTCCTGCCAGTCTGGAGGACAGCCAGAGGGTGATACAGGGGATTTTTCCCTCGCCGTATCTCCAACACAGGCAAAGAAGTAGATTCTGTTATCTGTTCTTCATTGACCAAAATAGCTATAACAGATGGTCACAGCCCAAATTCCCATGGTGATGACTTCTAGGCTGAGAATCTTCTCCTGGGGTACATACTGTCTTAAAGGAACAGTTGAACTACCCAGGGAAGATAAGTGGCTGATCTAAGACACTTCCTATTGTAGTTTGCCATCCAAATGAGGAATTCCTCACCAGTATTCACTCTTCTTCTACAACAGGGTCAACACTGTGGCCCAAAAGCCAAATTTTACCTGTGGCCCCTTTCTATGAAGAAATTTTATTGCAGCCATATTTGTGTATATTTGATCTTTGGATACCTTCACACTACATCAGGGCAGTTGAGTAGTTGCTACAGACACCATATGATCCACAAAGCCTAAAATATTTACTCCTAAAACATGCACATATTGGTCAGAATATGTGTTTGCAGCTCTCGGTTTTGGAGTTTTGGTGCCCCAGAGTCATTACCCTAACTCAGTGGTTTTCAACCAGTGTGTCGCAAGAATTTTTAAAACGTGCAATACCTGCCCCGGCCAGGTGGCTCAGTTGCTTGGAACATAGTTCCGTACACCAGAAAGTTGCAGGTTTGATTCCCCGTCAGGGCACATACCTAGGCTGCAGGTTCGATCCCTGGTTCGGGGTGCATACTGGAGGCAACTGATCAATGTTTCTCACATCGATATTTCTCTTTCTTTCCCTCTCTCTAGAACATATCCTTAGGTGAGGATTGGCGGGGGGGTGGGGAAGCATGTAATACCTGACTTTTAGTCAGGGGTACTGACCTATTTTTTACCGTAGATTGTCAAATAAAAAAATGACAACAGCCTACACAATGATAGCCATCCAGTGTGGATGAATCAAAATGATACCTATTTTTTGTCAGATCCACAAAAAATATCATATTTTTGGGTGGGCTGCAGAATTTTAGTAATTAGTTTATGTGTGCTGTGACATGAAAAAGGTTGAAAGTCACTGCCCTTACCCAACTGAGTGTACCTTGTAAATTCATTTATATTCAGCAATCAAAATCAGCACTCTTACTGAAAAGTTTAAGGTGAGGGCTACTCTTGGAAAAGCATGGTGAGGTTTGGTCTGGATTTTGCAGAATTTGGAACGATGAGAGGAAGGGCATCCCAGGTCACGAACCACGTGTTTGTAAACACACAGATGAAGAGTCCACCTGAGAGACAGTAAGAAAAATGGCCAAAGAGAAGGGGAGCCTCTGGGAAGTGAGACTGGTCTGGTTTTGGGAGAACATAGTCGAGCATAAGGGAAGCGAGGCAGACATGTAGGTTTACTGTGGGAGGCTGGAGGTTCCTCTTGTGTTGCTGAGAAGGAGAATGAATGATGAAAGCAATGTTTTAGGCAAGTGGTTCTAAGAGGAGCTAGAGGGAGACTGACTAGGAGAGAAAGCAGATGCAGGTACCCAGAAAAAAAGTCATGGATATAGACACGTGAAGTCTCAAGGGCCAAATAGAGGGATGAAAGCAGAAAATAGACAAGGAAAGGAAATGAGCAAGAAACTAGGTTTTATAGGCCAAGGGATACATGTAAGAGGTGAGTCATTAATTATTTTAATTATCTGTTTAAATATGTCTCTTCAAGTAGTCGATAAGCCCCCTGAGGGGGGCCCCATGCCTGGTCCTGTGCCTGACACATAGTAGACAGGAAGCTGTTACTTACTGAGTGTAAGGAAGAAAAGGGTGAAATTACAGAGTTGAGGGGGACAGGTGGACATTATGGATGGTCGACGGGAAGGGTAGGAATGAGGAGCTTCCATGTGAGACATGTTGAGCTTGGGGCAAGGCTGTTTGTATGTTCTCTCTATGCCAGAAAGGCAAATGAGATCTAAGCAGTCAGAACTAGCTTGGTAAGCAAGTGGCTAAAGGTTACCTGTGTCTCATAATTTTTTAATGTAGTTAAGTTTGGGGACTAGATTATATCTAAATGTATATGCTCTCTTTCTTACACACACACACACACACACACACACACACACACACACCACCCCCCCCACC